ATTATTATTATTATTATCATTTTAATCAATGTAGGGCTTAGCTGAAAACAAAAGTACTTTGGGCCCCGAGGAAGTTCGTAAATCAGCTCTGACCCTGGTCATGGGAGCTCTTGACAACCCAAACCCCATCCTTCGGTGTGCAGCAGGGGAAGCTCTTGGAAGAATGGCTCAAGTGGTGGGAGAAGCAACTTTTATTGCTAGAATGGCCCAGTACAGCTTTGACAAGTAAGTGGGGCTCTTAAGTTTCTTAACTAGACAGAGATATCTTTTAGTAATCCATGATTATTATCTAGACCATTTATGAAATGGCACTATTTTGTGATTTTTCATAACCATCGCAAATTTTCAGTCTAATAATCGATTTAACTCTGTAATCTCAGAAAAATTGTTATGTGTTAGATACTTTCAGTGGGGGAGGATTTCTAATCTAGCTCTTAGAATCAAGCGTGTTAGTTTTCTTAGTTATGGGTACTCATTTAAGAATAAATAATGAGCTGGATGTGGTGGTGCACTTCTATAATCCCAGCACTTGGGAGGCTGAGGCAGGAGGATTGATGCATATTCTAGGCCACTCTTGGCTGCAAAGTGAGTTCAAGGTCAGCCTGAATTGCATAGTAAGACCCTGCTTCAAAAAGACATAAATAGGCCTGGGAATATATCTTAGCCGCGTAAACAACTACCTGGCAAGTACAAGATCCTGAGTTTGATCCCTGGTGCTGCATAAAAAAAAAAGTTTGAGAAAAAGATAAAAATAAGTTCAAACAACTTTTGACTTTTCAAGGAATAATTAAAAACCATGAAGGCTTCAGAGTTTTTCTAAAATTACAGTAGACAGGGGCTGGGGAGATGGCTAAGTAGAATATGCACTTCCCTGGCAAGCGCAAGGGTCTGAGTTCAATCCCTGGTTCTGAAAAAAAAAAAAATTACAGTAGACTTTATTCAACTATTGTATATGAAATATGTGACTTTGACAAACTATTCTACTTTGTTTTTTTTTAATTGATATTGTTTATTTTTCTTTATTTTTTATTTATTTGTGTGTGTGTGTGTGTGTGTGTGTGTGTGGCCAGCTCAGCCCACCAGGGGGCGGGGCTGGCTGGCATGTGGTGCTGGGGGATTGAACTGTGGTCCCTGCACTGTGCCAAGCCTGCTCCAAGTAGGTACTTTAGACCACCGAGCCATCTCACCAGCCCCTCTACTTTGTTTTTTATTTATGTAGTATAAGGGATTGAACCTAGGGCCCTGAGTATATTAAAGACGTTGTACTCAACTGCTGAGTTACATCCCTAGCTTAGCCAGCCATTTTTTTTTTTTTTAAAGACAGGGTCTCATTATGTAGTTCAGGCTAGCCCTGAGCTTACTGTGTAGCCCAGGCTAGCCTCTAACTGTGTGGCTATCCTCTTGTCTCAGCCTCATGAGTGCTGGGATTACAGGAGTGCACCACCTTGCCCAGATATTAGCCAGCTATTTTAAGTTGAAACTCTCCCTCTTATTAAGGAGTAGAAAAAGAAGTTTCATGATTATCATATTTTCTGATTTCCTGAATATTTTTCCTTTTTTGTATAACTCATGAGCTTGTTATTACTAGAGGAAAATGGAAAAATTGTTCCTGAAGCAATCTTTCTTTCAGGTTGAAGTCAGCTCGAGATGTTGTATCTAGGACTGGTCATTCATTGGCTCTTGGTTGTTTGCATCGTTATGTTGGTGGTATAGGCTCAGGACAACACCTGAAGACTAGTGTCAGCATCTTATTAGCTCTTGCACAAGATGGAACATCCCCTGAAGTCCAGGTATAGTACTGGAGATAGAGCCTAGGGCTTTCTCACTGAATTACGTGCCCAAGCCTGGTTTTTGAGAGAGGGTTTCCTGAAGTGACTTAGTTGCCCAGGCAGGGCTCAATCCTATGCTCCTGCCACAGTCTCCAGAAGTGCTGAGATTACAGCTATATACCACTGCACCCAACTTAATTTTTTTAATTATATATTTTAAAATATTTTTAGAAAGATTATTTATTGTTAAGTAATGATAATTCTGATACATTAAGAGAAACATATTACAGCATATTCTTTACCCATTATTTTGTTTTAAAGTTTTATTTGTTGAAGTATATAAAAAGATTTTGATTTTCAATATAAAGTCTGCCTTATTCTGCAAATTCAACCCATTCACATACATTGTTTGAAACATATTTTATATTATTTTCTTTATTTGTTTCTCCTTTTGTGCACCGTCTGTATTAGATTGATTTTTTTGGGCTTTTTTCCCTCTAATTATGGTCCTTCCCTCTCTTTCTTCCTATATTACAATGATGGCAAATCTTTTAGAAAGTTCAGTGGTGTAAACAGCCTGCTGTGGCACACGTGCCCTAGGTTTGGCACTACTGCTCTATTATGTCAGCCTACTTCCTAACATTGATTGAATCTTCAAGTTTACTCCTTGCATTTTATTTTTTTGTTTCTTCTTGAACATTTTATACAAATATAAGAGTAAGAATCAGCATTTGTTAAAATAGATGGTAATCATGATTTACCAGTTCACATTGATATGCCTAAAAATATGGAGTATGTGCATGTAACATTTGAGTATAGTCTTAATTATTCCTCACAACTCAAATAAAGTTCTGTTTTATTCTAGACTTGGTCTCTTCATTCACTTGCTTTGATAGTGGATTCTAGTGGGCCAATGTATCGTGGCTATGTAGAACCAACATTATCTCTGGTTCTTACCTTGCTGTTGACAGTTCCACCTTCACATACAGAAGTTCATCAGTGTTTGGGTAGATGCTTGGGTGCTATAATAACTACTGTTGGCCCTGAACTACAAGGTAAGAAATTTATCTTAAAATAATTGCTGGGCTGGGGTGATAGCTCAGAGACATAAGCACCTACCTGGCAAATGCAAGGTCCCAGGTTCAATCCCTAGGATCTTGGGCGCACTGTGCCAAGCCTAGTGCCAGGCACACACCTGTAATCCCAGCACTCGGGAGGTTGAGACAGGAGGATCTCTGTGAGTTTGAGATCAACCTGAGGTCTGCAAAAGTGAGCACAGGCAAGCCCAAACTGCATGGCAAGACCCTGTCTCAAAAAATAAAATAACTGCTGCCTTTCAGTTTTCTAAATGTTGCTTGAAGAAATTTTATAGTAATAATTATTGCCTACTGAATTTTTATGTTTTCCAAAGGCCTGACACTCAAATTTTTACATGTGCTTTTTCAAAATTTCTTTATAAAAACAAAACAAAAAGCCCTCAAACCTGTAATGTGACAGTAGTTTTTAAAGTTTTTAATTTTATTTTTTTTATTTTAATGATAGTAGAAAAATAATAGAAAAGACGGACATTAGAAACAATACACAGTTTTTAAAAAATGATAGGTATTCAGTAGTGGTTATTATATTGCATACTGTCGACTTCAGTGTAGTTGCTCAGATAGCCAGACACAAACATCTAAAATTAGGCAAATTAAAAATTTGCAATATTAGCTGCTACCTTCAAAGAACTGAAAGGATTTAGTATTGTACTCATCTTAGCTATCCTGTGTGTATACATACATGATTTTTTCCCCTTCCTTTTTTTCCCTTTTTTCTTGTACACTAGGGAGACAATACGATGTTTTTGAAGTTTTAAGCAGAGAAAAACTTTTGGTGTGTGTGTCTGGAATCAAACTCATGACCTCTCTCTTGCCAGGCAGGTGCTGTGTTACTGAACTATATCCATGGCCCTGAGAAAAACATTTTTAAATGAATTTTTTTTTTGAACCTTGTGGAAATAAAGATTAAATATAGAAGTTGTTTTATCCTGGTGTGGACTTTTGTTTGACTTGTTTTTAACTCTGATGACTAAGAGCATAGTTTAAAAAATCATTACCATAAAATAGATAAGATTATCTTATTTTCTATGAGGAAGCTAGCTTATAGAAGATGAGTTGTCTAGAGTTGCTTAACTTGAGTAGCACCTAAGACTTATGTTCCTACCACTCCAGTACAATTCACTAATAGCTAAATACCTAACTCAGTGAATTATTGTGAATATATCCACTATTATGTATCACTAATGATTATTGCGAATGTATCCATAAACCCCTTTCCTTTGTCATTTAGTAAATACTTTCAGTGAGTCAAATTTTTTATTTATCTCATTTAATTTTTACAGCAATTCAGAGATACTGTAAATATTATCTCCATTTTGCAGATGAAAGAGGTTGAAAGGGGGTAAAAAATTTTCTAAGCTCCCCACCCCCAATTATTTTGTTTGGCCTTGTGTAAAATTGTTTTACACTAGAAAAAAATTTAAGCCCCATATTTAACAATTAAATTGTATAAATAGCACATAACATTATCATATACTTTAATTGAATCTTTGTAAAAATAGCCGTGAATTCTCTTAGGAAAACAGGATTTGAAATTACTGTATTATATAATGCAGGATAATATTGGTTGAACAGAAAACCAGAGAATGAAAAGTCTTCTTGCCCTTGAAATAAAACAGTGATGATTGCAAAAGACAGTAAGTGTAAATACAGCTAAATTTAAGAGTGTTGTTTTATTGTCATCCAAAGACAGTTGTATTTTGAAGTCTTGTTTGTCTTTTTTTTTTTTTTTTGGTGGTACCAGGGATTGAACTTAGGGTCTTGTGTGTGCTAGGCAAGCATTCTACCACTGAGCTATGTCTCCAGTCCTGTATTTAGAAATCAGTTCTGTAGATATGTTGTTTTTAAAGTGAACAATAATTATAACGAGGAATTATATAGAAGATAATCATTTTTAGGAATATGTGATATAGGGGCCTGGGGAGATGGCTCAATGGAATAAGCGCTTCCCTGGCAAGCACAAGGGCCTGAGTTCAATCCTGGTTCTGCAAAAAAAAAACAACAAAAAACAAAAAACAGACATGGTAGGAATATGTGATACTAATAAAATCTTTGTTTTTTACTGTCTTTGCTACAAGGGAATGGAGCAACAATTTCTACAATTCGTTCCTCTTGCTTGGTGGGTTGTGCGATCACCCAGGACCATTCAGATTCTCTTGTTCAGGCAGCTGCTATATCGTGCCTTCAGCAGCTTCACATGTTTGCACCTCGACATGTCAATCTCTCTAGTCTTGTTCCTAGCCTTTGTGTGAGTATAAGGTGTTTCCTTCCTTGATTTATTTTGGGACCCACCACATTTCTTTTGTAAAATATCACATTGGCCCAAGACCAAAAATACAAGTGTTCTAAATTGTAAATTCTAAAGTTTCAGCTTCAATACTTTATGACTGTTTTATTTACTTTTTTTTTTTTTTTTTGTCTTTTAAGAATGCTGAACCATTTATTTCTTGGCTGAGAATGTATCAGATGCAGTCTTTCCCTCTCATAATTCTTTCCTTTCCTTTCCTTTCCTTTCCTTTCCTTTCCTTTCCTTTCCTTTCCTTTCCTTTCCTTTCCTTCTTTCTTCCTTTCTGTGTTTCTTAAAAAAAAAAAAAAAAAAAAAAAAGATTATTTGATGGTGGGAGAAAAAGGGAAGAGAGACATGGCAGACAGTTAGTCTGGATGAGAAGGAAGTCTTTGAAATATTTATGGATTTCTTGTCTGCAGCTTCTTTTATTGAGAGCCTTGTCCTGTATAGGCTCTTGGAGTCTAATTAGATTCCTGGCTTGTCTTATCTTCAGCACTCTTACAGAGAAGCGCTTATTTTCTTCCTTGAGAGTTTCAGTTGTTAGAATGTAAAGGAAGGCTGACTAAAACCTTTTAGGGTTCTTTCCTCTTAATGTTTAGCAGAAACATGCCTCCAGGAAGAGGAAAGTACAGAGTAACAGGACAAGGTTGGAATAAGAGATCAAGAAAAGGAAAGTTTTCTCCTCAGCTGTGGAGGAGCAAACTAGAAAGGAAACTGAAGCAGCACAGGCTATAGCATGGGAGGAGCTGGAGGGGGGTCACCTGTCAGGCCAGATTGCCCCAGTGAAAACCCTGCACCAAGCCTTTTTTTTTTTTTTTTGCAGAACCAGGGATTGAATTCAGGCTCTTGCACTTGCCAGGCAAGCACTTGTTCTACTGAACTATCTCCCTGACCCCGTCCACCAAGTCTTAAGAATAGCTGCTGACACTAACTGTCTTTTAACTAGCAGTTGGAGTCTTGTGATTCATTAATAGGCATTTTTATTTTCTAGATATGAACTAGATTTTATCAAAAAGAATCCATTTTATGAATTCACACTTTCGGGGTTAGTATCAGTGTCCCCTGGGGGGCGCTCTAACATTCATTTTCCCAACATTGCGGCCGGAGCTATATTGCTCTTCTCCCTAGCCATTTGTGAATATAAAGGTGTTCCCTTCTTTGATTTATTTGGGTACCCACCACATTTCTTTCTTAAAAGATCAAATGGACTAAAACAAAAAATACAAGTGTTCAGCATTGTGAATTCTAGCATTTCAACTTCAGCAGTCACACATCACAGGACTGACTTACGGGGCTAACTATGAATCTGACCACAGCTATCCTGTACACAAATTTTATAGCTAGTCCCTATCCGAAGACTGCCTTTTTGATGTCCTTCTTAGAGTATTTGTAGATGTGTCTAACAAGGGGGCACTGCTGCTGTGCTGTCTGAGCAGCTCACTGTTACCCTAAATACACAGTAATGAATGAGACAAAATTTTACTTACCCAGCCAATATGCCAGTTAAAGTAATGTCTGGGGAGGGATTGCTCTTCTGGGACACTCAGCCTCTTGCGATTGTAGACCCCACATAGGTGAAGAACTAAAGATTCGGGTTGTAAAATAAAAGAGATGATTTATTTCAGGTGGGGGAAGGGGGAAGAGAGACCTGGCAGACAGTTACCCTGGACGAGGAGGGTATATTCAAAAGTGAAATACTCTGGCATTTTATTTCTTTAACTCTGACCCATTACATCTAATAATCTGTCAGACTGAAATCATCAGTTTATTCAAATATTTACAAATAAGTAATTAGACATTAGGTACAATGCAGATTACTAGAGGAACATTTGTTAGAAAGATCAAGTCTCTGTCATAACAAAGTATTTATTTTGCAAGGAAAATGGACAAGAGCTATTTACAAGTGAAGAGTATAAGATAGGTATAATATGGGGCCCGTGATGATCCAGACATTCAGAAATAACTTTCCTGACAGAATGACATTTAGGTTATAACTTGCAAGATGAGTAAGAGTTAGTTTGCAGCACAGCATGGAATTGGAGTAGACAACATCTGTATTTATTCTCAGGAAAAATGTGTAAGAGGACCCTAAATGAGAAGGAAGAAACCAACTAATCAAGGTTAAGGATACTAGAGAAGAATCTGGATAGTTAGCTAAAGCTTTCTAATTTTAGGGTATTTGAAAAAATGTTTTTTAATGTCTTAGTTTTTTTTTTTTCTTTATTTTATTGAATTGTCTTAATTTTTAGGAAGAGAAATAATCATAAGATTTTGTTGCTAAAAATCTGTAAGGTTTTTTCGCTTCAGTTGTATTTTATTTTTCCTAATATTTGATATAAGCTTCATGACCCATGATTTCTATGCAGTTATTTCTTATTTTACAAGTACTATCTTAATTGTTTTTTTATTTTTTTTATTTTTTATTTATTTGAGAGAGAGAGAGAGAGAGAGAGAGAGAGAGAGAGAGAGAGAGAGTGTGTGGTGTGTGTGTGT